GATCAAACTACTGTTGTCAATAGCTGTCGTGTATGTGGCCGTCATTGCAGGGGAAAGGATTCAACATGATGTAACATTTCATTTATTAACTGTGTGATGTTTTCATTAAGAAATATCTTAACTACATTAAGAAACTAGATATCTCCCAGCACGATGACGTCATCAACTAGTAACATGCATGCTTATCATATACCCAAATAAGCAGTGATTTCAATGAAAAAAACGTACGAAGACAAAAATAACACGTGACCTGTAAATTGTCTATTCAGCTCATAATGCGCTGTCTTTTTGTTGATGTACAGCTTCATGTCCCGAAATGTTCACAATTTGGGAAGACCACTGTTACCTGGCAATGGCTGCGGATGCTGAATGGGAGGAAGGAGAGATGTATTGTAATACCAGAGGAGGACATCTCGTATCACTTCACTCACATGACGAAGAGCAATTCGCAAAGGAACTTGCTGGTCCCGATAACGAATTTTGGATTGGGATGACACAGAAAGTGAGGATTGTTTGCTTTCACCCATTAATTATTAAATTATTGAAGATTGGTTTGGCAGTCCATCTAAGTGTAAACCATTATACGCAATATTATGTACTGATGTGAACCACAGTCTGTCTTTTTTATATCCAGGATAATACCGGTTATAAGTGGACTGATGGAACAGAAATCGATTATCTAAATTGGGGTGAAGACCAACCAAGCGATGGTTTTTTTATGTATGATGAAGACTGTGTCACAACAAATGACCCTAGTCGCAGTAAGTACGACTAATTGGTATGTACGTACATGGTGGTCAATTTAAACAGAGGTCGACAGTCAAATGAAAAAGTGAACGAGAATGTTAACATTGGTGTTAATTGTTTCATATTTTTTTGTTTATTAGAAATCGATAACCAATGGAACGATGTCAACTGCAATAGACAGCGTTACTTTGTATGCAAGACTCTGGCAATTAACAGTTAAACGACTTCAACAAGTAAGTGAACACACACTACCTACTACTCGAGTAGACAATATATCGAAATATAGATGAAACAAATCTTGATAATAGTCAACAGAGATGATAAAACACGTGACTTCCAGACTTCCAGGCGCCTTGGCAGCTCACGTGAAACGTTCTCATTAACATGGCAATTGATGAATGGATTTGAACAACTCTAGTTATCTTTTTTTATTCACAGGATCTTTCGAGTTGACTCCGTGTGCTGATCAAATAAATTTTGTGTGAACAAGCTTTTAGAATGTAATAAATGACAGAGGAAATAAAATTTTACGTTATTTAATCATCAGTTGTTGGGTAACTGTTTCACGGGTGATTTTCTACGCTGTCTTCAATAAATGAGCTGGCATTTGTGATCACTGGTCACGTGATTGCAAGCATGTGTGTGTCACGTAATGAGTATACATTTTTTTAAATACAAAAAGACAGATTATATAATATATTTCACAAAAGTGTGAGCAAAAACCATATTTGGACAAATCTAAGGTGGCTGCCATTGTGCTACTAAATACTGTATAGCGCATTTGAAATTCGATAGGTTTTAAAATAATTCCTTGTTAACTTTGCAATTTGTAATGGGGTTTAATTTAGCGCATTTGGCTATCGGTGATATAAAACTCAATAACCAATTAAATCCTATACATATGCCCAATGTCCATTACTTGGTTTAATAATGGTATACTTTAAAACACTACTACGATTTTAGACAGTATCACACAGTTAATGTCTCCATTAAGTATACATTTGCAAAATTTCAATGTGGTCCAGTTTCACCGAACTGGTCAACTCTTACTACTATAACATATATTTATGTTTTATCAACTTAGTATGGTTTTTATGAACGCTAAAAATTCTTGTCCATGATTTACCTAAGAACGATTACCAAATATTATCTATTATATATCGTCTTTCCCATACGAATAACATGTATTATTATACATCTGTCATCATAACGCCATACGTAACAGCGTGTCGTAATTTTGCGGTATTTTACGGGGTATTTTCATCCTATCATATAAAGAAATGCGAATTCCAAATATGGAATGTTTACAACAATGGCTGCCACCAGAGTTTGACCGGATTCCACACAAAGAAGTTCGCTGATTCTGTTCTAAACATTTTGGATTTCGGCATTCCCTAGACGTATCTTTGGAAGGAAAAGATGTATAATAGTAAGTTTATTACGAGGATACTTCAAAGTATACACTCATACGGTACGCCGCGCATCGACCTCCGCGACCTCGGTTGATATATCCACTGTACTGTCTTCGTGCATACTTTGAGGTGTCCTCGTAATAACTTCATATTCATATCATGTATGTGGCTATTTGATTGAATGAATTATTATTGATCAGTGTAGAAATCAAAATGCTCGTCTATTTGAATAAAATCATCACATGAGACAGGTATTTGAAATCGAAGAGTACACACATTGGGCAGATATTAATGCACTTTGGTTCCGCCTTTGAATCAAGGGATTTGCTCGGAGTGCATTCTCTGGCTACATTTTGTGCGGTACTTTGACGTGGTGTCGTGTGGTAGTTGTTTTTGATACCAGGACAGGATTGCCCCCATCACTATTCACATTACTGTGGGGCAGTGAACACTCCTGGGACAAAATGACACAGTCTTCGAGCATATTCAGGGCGGGAAAATACATCACGAGTAAATATGAACTAGCAGCACACTCCCAGAATGTTAATAAATTTAACCCAACCAATGGAGAAAACATACAAGTACCAAAACTGGAGATGCATGTGAACGACTTACAAATGTTGACAAAGCTCTTTCTTTAAGACTTGTAAATTTGACAGCAGGTGAAATGTTGGCACACATGAAACAATGTTTACTGTGACAAGACAACCCTGATGAAGATTATCATCGGATAACACTGTACGTACATTGTGGTCATTATGGAATTTCAGTATCGCGTCTATAGGCTGTGATAGGTAGGGCTGTGGGTATATATTTAGTGTCGTTTCAGTTATAGATACATGTAATAGATACGATATGACAATAGAACTAACATTTATTGCGAACCCTTGCAAGTGGTCTTCAATATAAAGTGAAACGACGAGGAATGTTTATTTCTCTTAGTGAATACAAGACTTTTTACGTATGTAGTTAAAGCGGGGGAGTCGTCACCTGCGCAGGCGCCAGATGACCATAGCGTGTAATTGTTTACAAACAAGCGTCTACCTATGAGCCTTTGCGTTTTGGTACTCAATTCCCGCGCGTGCGCAGGTGATGACCCTCCGCTTTAAAATGCTAAATGTTATTTGTAATATAGTCCAGTGGATTTGGCTATGATGAATTTGTTTTTGCGTATCTGTTGATCGACTTAATTAGTTGATTACGAGTGAATGGCTGTGTTATGTCTGACATTGTTTAGACCATTTGATTGATTTAGAACTAATTACGAAATAACCGTCGCTATCCGGACTACTATTTCTGACAGTTAGTATTCGTAGTTATTAATGTAGTGAACGATTAATCAAAAGATATGACGTACTCAGTACTTAGTATGAATGGCTTTATGATTGAAGGTCACGCCCTAGAGTCTTTTTACTGCATTATAATTGGTTAAGGTTTTGAAAATGAATAAAAAGTTGTTTTGAGTTGGCCTTGGCGAATACTCCACGACAGAGGCAGTCGAGTCCTGGAGAGTCTTGGAGCGAGTCTTGACGCAGTCTTGGGCGAGTCTTGGGTCAGCCTTGAGATAGACTTGGGGACTTTTCCCCAGGGCGCTGTGTCTTATAGAGTGATCGACTGACCGACTAAGACGAGAGTTGAAACGTATTTCGTTGTGTGTGTCTTATTTGACTGTAAAGCTTAAGTGACTTTCCCGGTCCCGTACCTCAAGGGGACGCGATAGAGAGACGAGACGAGATATCCCCCCTGGCATGTGTGGAGAACCCTAGAGGAGAAGATTTCCCCCCTGATATAGCCCTGAAATAGGCCGAACCGGGAAATAAATACTACATTAATAAGTTTGGTATCAAAAAATAGGGAATTTTTTGTAGATTCCCCCCCCCCTTTCAAAAAAACAACCCAAGAACTGATAACATGGGCATTTTTTACACGAGTAGAAGTAAGGGGTAGTGTTTTTCGTACATTTTAGATTGTTCTTACATTTATATTTTGTAATTAATATTACTTACAGCCTACACATTATTTCATATAGATATTGCTAGTGTTTTCTATACACTTTTCATTTAAATAAACTGAACAAACTATTCGCCAGTTATAGAGCAGAAATGTGCTGATGTCAGCATTTTTTTACAATTATTTTAATCCTGTTAAGTAGTCAACGAATCTTTTGTTTCACCAGATACCTATTGATATACCGTAACAAAATATCTTTCCTTTATTTCTAAGCACCAGCATCTAGGAAACTAAGCACTGTTTTAACTTTTAATGACTCTTTTGTAATTTTTAAACACCTTGATATTCCCAAAATATAGCTGAATATTATTACACAAGGAAGATTGTTATGTAAACACTTTGCTATGATTACTTCTCTTTTTCCTTTCTGTATTAATTGCTCTGTTTAGAGTAATCATATTTTAATATAGTTAAAACAAGTCATTTGCAAGTCCTTGCATGACTGTCAATCATAATAAATTGCTCAGTTTGTAAAGTCAATGTGACTTTTGATTGTCATCACGTTATTTCCTTATATGGCAACCAGACGAACCTTAACTAGTACAAGATTATGTCGCAATATTTTTGCTTGAAACACTTTCAGAATTTCTGAATGCAAACACTGACAACTTTTACCAAGTTTTGAAGTCTTTTGCGCGGCTCTAATTGGAAACACCACTGTTTATACTGTGGCGTGAAAGCAGCAGTGGATACAAAACACCCAGATAGAAATAAAGTATTGAATGCAACATTTCTCTACACCAAGGATAAGATTTTGGAAAAATGTAGACAAAAACTCAAGATCTACAAAGATGAGTGCGTGCAACAGGTACAAGCCAGCCTTCTCAGCATCAGCAATTTCACATGATTTCCACTAGCATGCAAAGAATGAAGACCCTGAATCCAAAAACAAAATCGACTCATTAAAACGGCTGCACAATTTATTAAAAATAATATAAAATCGTCCAGCACAACTAGTCATTTATACCCAAACACTGAAGTAATGCAATTCACCAAGAAAGCCATTGAGTACCTTCCATCCACCCTGAAAGTTTTACTTCAAGATATGTATGCCTAGTTACCCAGTTTGATAGCAGGTGATGATACATTGAATGTGGATCTTCTGTGGAAAATCTCTTGGTTGTTACATCCATCTAGACCATCTTGGAATGGTTTTATGCAAATGGTACATCAAGGTCCTGATCCTGGGGTCTCATCTATAATGTTCATGCCAATCGATATGAAATCAACTGATGAATCATGTATCTTCTCAACTATGTGCTTCATCAGTGAACAAGCCAAGAAGTATGATGTAACATCAGTGCTCACCTTCAACCAGCCTTTGTGGTGGAAATCACTGGAAATCAAACAGAATGAGCCCACAAGTAGCAGTGTGAGGAATATTGTTCTCAGACTGGGTGGTCTGCATGTGCAAATGAGTTTTGCATTGGACATTTGACGAGTGGATCTGGACTTAAGGAACTATTGGAGACAATTTATGCTTAGAATGCTGTTGGACATAGTGCTATTAGGGGTCACATTCTAGTGGAAGCAGCATTATGCATTGCTTTTGTCAATGATGTATGACCTTCCATTACCAAGAAAAGAATCAGACATTCAAGAAGATGCCAGTGCTAGTGAATTATCAGATATACCCGAACATGGCGATTCCAGTAATGCAAATCAGTCACAAACAGAAGATACAACAAATGAGTTGAAAGAAGCAGGGACCATCCTAGAGAGATTGCTTGCACATGAGACAGTCCTGACAGTACGGAGGAAGTACTGACTCAAATACACGAAAAAATCAACCAATTCA